TTTAATTAAGGAGTTTATGCAAACTTTATATACCTTAGTTAATTATATTTAATGTGTAGAAACTATAAAACTTCTGTTTTGGAAATGATATACTTAGATTAATAGTCGTATACAGCTGTGAGATGTCCAACCCTGAAGATTTCAATTCTTATATTTGTTATAAACTTATGTCATAGATATAACACTGATCTCTTTACGTACATTGTGAGGATACATTCGTCCTTGGTTTTACAAGATAGATCACTTCCTTTCAGGAATATGCATCTTTTAGAACCAAGCCTATTTATCGTATAGGTATGGTATTTATTGGTAAGAAAGATAGCTAACTATATTATTAAGACATTCTCAATAATATATATATAACTTATATGTAACGTTCGTCGCCTTTCCGTTTCTCTTGTGTTTTGAAATTATAAAGCATTTCCAAACAATTTTCTGTAACGGACAATAATTTAGACAGTACATCCAAAGAAAGAGGGAGACTAAGAGATAGATATATAGATAGACAGATATTTTATTCTCTAAAAAGAGAAAAGGGGTTTCTTTCACGAAAACTTGTAACTTGATTTTGATTTTCATACGAGTTGTATACTTGAGAAAGGTTATAAACTCATTGCACAATAAAGCACTTTTTCAAAAAGGAAAGAAAATCATGCAGAGATGTTTTGTTTGTATTAGATTTATTTTTTGAAATCTGATTTTTTTTAGTGGATGTAACGTGATCGAAAAAAATGTAACGAGTGTAAACTATAAGTTTTTTCATTTGTGAAAAAAACTAGATAGAAGTTACCAAGAGAAAAAACTAAATCTACACAACGTAGAAAGACGGACCTTACCGTAACCAAAATAAAAGAGAGTAACAGGCAGACGACAGTTAAAGAAAACACTACACAAAAAACGCATCACAATATCCCACATAAAACCGGGTTGAAGTTAGCGGCTCCGGAAGGACTAACAGTTAGGTTCCACTATTGAATGCAGTTAAAATCCGGGGATAAATTATATTATATTATTACGGATTGATAAATGTCGTTTGTCTAAAACTTAGACATTACCATTTATACAAAAGTTTGATTCTCCAGCTCTAAAACAATCCTGAATCTGAAAATTTGAAATGCAATCGCATCACTTCTAGTCATATAATATACAAGACTGTAGAGGAAAAAAGACATGACTTTTAAATAAAATATCACAAAAAACAACATATAAAAGCAAGGCAAAAGCAGCCCCTTTTGGATGAACTCATGATGTGCTCCTGAAGGGTAAGTAGTTTGTTATTAAATATTCAGTTCAATTTTCAACTTTACTAATTCACGTTTTATTGAAAATTGGAACTCTGCGGTAAAATCTCATGTGAAGTCTTTTCTTTTGAAGATAGTTATTGTTAATGGTGTAAACATTGCCGTTCAATTTTCAATTTGCATTTTGAGTCAAATAAGTTGGGTTTTTTTTAAATCAGAGTTCTGAAAAGACAGAAACTTTTACTTTGTTCAATCTCTTCCGTCACATCTAAATCCTTTTCGTGACTAATCCAAATAATCTAATCAGTTGTGGAGATATATCGAAGGTTAATTGGAAATTTAAAATTATTTTTATTTATTTATCCAGTATATATCTAAATGTTACCAATGCATAATTGACATGAATCAATAAAGAGATAATGTGTCGTGACCTAGTTTACAGTATTTCTGTTCGCTATATCCAGACAGTAGCTGTATTGTTCAAATGTTTACCCACAATAACTACGTGTTTTTCATTTAATCTTTATTAGTATTAAGATATAAATAGGTAATCAGATTGCAATGTTTTTATTCTTTTTAAATTAATCCTAATCAAACTGCTCTATTTTTTTCAGATATATTTAACCAACATGGCACAATTCGTAAATTCAAATGGACTTACTACGACTAAAAATTCAAATTCCTAGATCGGTTTCTATTACAGATTTTTATGTGATTAAAATTATATGCTTCAGTCCAGATCACGTTCAAATATGTTGATAATAGAAATATAAATACGTATGATTTTGATCTTTGATGAAGCTTCTAAAATTTTGGTGAAGAATTCTAACTTTTAAAATATGACATCTCACTTCGATATGTGTATGTAACCATGGACTTGAAAAAATAAGCAAACTAAAAGTTATTGTTCCAATGTAACTTTAATTTGAATTTTAAACTGTTGACGACCGTTAGTTTAATTGACAGAAAAGATAAACCTTTGTGTTTCATCTGTAAAACTACGTATAACTGTGCCACCATATACTTTTAGTTAATAAAATGTAATGTCAGAAAATGATTAAAACTATGGAAGCATATCAGTTTTCATATACTGTAAACGACGTTTTAACCCAAATTTTGTATAAATTATTTACATGATCGATACCCACTAAATATCAATATACTTGCACATATAATTATCTAAGTATATTATAACTGTTTATACCGTTGTTTATGTTTCAAACGAAATGTTGTATACATTATTTGATTGATACCCAAGAAAGTTTGATTTACTTGCAGATTACGTTATATTGTTACGTCTATTGATTTTACGTTAAATCATTGATGTTCAGTTTGTTGTTATAGTGCAAATGCTATTCCTTAACTACTATTAAACCCATTCTCTCAGTGAGGGCTGGGGTGCTTGTCTGGAGCCTGTAATCTATACAGTCATAGTATGTTTAACCTCGAGTCTCTTTGAGCAGGTATATAGTTCCCTTAAACATGACCATTGGTCGACTTTTTAAAATTATTTCAGATTTTTCGATGGCTACTCGGAATTTCCCGTAAATGATTTTTAAACATGACAATTGGTCGACTTTTTAAAATTATTTCAGATTTTTCGATGGCTACTCGGCATTTCCCGTAAATGATTTAATTTAATGGTCCTTCAATTTCACTGATAGTTGGTACTTAGACCAAATGGGATATAGAGGTATGGTGACCTAGACTTATTCTGCCTGGTAGCATTACCCATATGGCGGTGGTTGTCTGTTTGGCCTTACTGAGTGTAGAAATACACAGCAAAATAAAAACAAAAAAAGTGGCTGTACCATTTTGGGAAAAAGGTGAAAATGCAGCTATCAGGTAGTTTCTACATATGACGTAGATGTAAGAAAGAGAGTAGTGCTTTACTTTGACAGGTTTTTGTCTCGCCTGCGACGAAACATGTGTTATTTTAAGTTTTCTGCTGAAGTCAGTTTGATAGGAACTGCTTGTGATAGATTAATTAAATTTTCTATAACGTTGCATTACTATCAGTACATATCAGTTTGACGACTATTCCGAGTCCCTGCCCCCCGGTCATGGTCCAGTGTCTTTAAATTTATCATCAATTTTCAATGTTAAGTTATCTGCTTAAATCAGTATGATAGGAACTACTTGTGAAAGATCAATGATATTTTCTGTAAAGTTGCAATACTATCACAACATATCAGTTTGATGACGATTTCGAGGCCCTGTCCCTAGGTCATGGTCCAGTGACTTTGAATGAATTAGCCATTTTCAATGTTAAGTTTTCTGCTTAAGTCAGTTTGATAGGAACTACTTGTGACAGATCGATGATGTTTTCTATAAAGTTGCATTACCATCAGTACATATCAGTTGGACTACTATTTTGAGGCCCTGCCCCCGTAGGTCATGGTCCAGTGGCTTTCAAATAATTACCAATTTTCAATGTTAAGTTTTCTGCTTAAGGATGTATTTTTCTGACGTTTCAGTCTCGTTGAAATCTCGTTCTGGAATTATTTCCAAAACATGTGATACAAGTGGAAAATATCAATGAATTTAAAAAATATTATAATCAAACTTTACTCTGTGAAAAAATTGTGTATTTACAATTAGTAGTTTTTGAGTAATAAAATTTTCAAATTTTATAACCAATCAAGTCAGTCTCATTAGCCAAAATGTTGAGAAAATGAGATATATGTACATCTCATATCAATTTTTTTCTTTTCAAATTTCTTAGATATGTATTTTTTCAATCATTTAGAAATAATATGCTTTTTGTTTTAAAAAAAGAAAAAAATCCCAAATTTACAAAATTGACAACATGGTAAATTTGACACGAAAAAGCAACAAAATTTCATAAAACTTTCTTTTATTAACACCTACCATTAGTTTTTTTTAAGTTAAATTTCTTCAGATTGGTCCACTTCATCTTTAGTGAAAGTATGAAAAAAAGTTTAATTGTGAAACTGTGATTTTTTTTCATGATAATAGCCCAAAAATGGGTAAAAATTGATGAAAAATGGGAAACTCATCAAAACTGGGTACTTTCAAATGGCTGTAGCAAAAAAAAGAAGCGCACCACCATATGATTTTTTCTTCACCAATTATTTTTTGACAGGCATATAAACCCAAAAATCAGGTTAAGAACAAAGTTTAATTCTAGATATTTTTGGCTCCTCAGAGATGTACATCCTTAAGTTAGTTTAATAGGAACTATTTATGATATATAATTATATTTTCTATAAAATTGCATTAATGTCAATAAATTCAGTTTGTCGACCATGTCGATGCCCTGTCCCCTAGTTCATGGTCAAGCGACCAATGTTGCTGTTCATCAGGTTGTCTGTTTCTGAATTTTCTGCCGACAGGCGAGACATACTTCTGTGTCAGCAGTTTATTTTTAATAGTCCCACCATGATGTTTTCATTTCCACAAAAATCTTTTAACAGTCAATTAATGAGCACATTTCTTATGTTCAAACCCTTCCCTTTTTGTGATAATTCTATTGAACGACCAAGACTGCTTCTGCCAATGTTGAGCAGCTAGTAATAGTTTCGAGTTTTTATTATCTGAAACTACAAGACAATAAATACTTAACGCAAATGTATTTGATTGACAACTTACCATTTGTATATGTTATAATGCAGCTTGAGTATATTGACTTTTTGTTAGAATATACTTGTTTTTCTTAATTTAAATTAGCTAGAATTATAAAAACCAATATTTCCTTTATTTTGAGATATGTCTCAATAATAATAAATACTGACTTACCTCTTTGGTATATTTCCAATTTTTAATGATACGGTTGATCATATCAGGTAAGTATCTGACAACTTCCAGGTGCTTAACAGACATTTAAATTTGATTAAACAATTATTTTTTTATTTAAGAAAAGTCAATAATAATATATCGAGCTTTAAACGTAATTTATATAGTTTCAAATGTTATCTTGCCAATTCGTAACACTAGCATTTTATTGCATGCTACAATGAACACGTTATTCATATTGAACACTGAACCAACAACTAATTTCAACATGATTATGAAGATATGTAGATATTTACCAGACATACTCAAGTACCCATGTTTGTCTAAAAAATAGTAATGAAAATAAATTTCAACAGATTTTTTCTAAATCCAACGTTAAGAGTGCTCACTGTCTTCTAATATGTATACCAAAATTCAACTAAATCATTTGAAGATAGAAGTGGACAGTCACACACGACAGATGAAACCAAAACCATAGGAAGCCGTGAAACTTAATGGCTATTGCCATTTATGAACATTTAAATGTGTAACTAAAGTATGGTCCAGTAAATATCAACATTAGTGTTACTATCAGCGGGGGGTATGGCTAGCCATAAAACCAGGTTCAACCCACCATTTTTTTCTTAAAATGTCCTGTACCAAGTCGGGAATATGGCATTTGTTATCAAATAGTTCGTTTCTATGTATGTTGGCGTTAATTTTTGTTGCACTTCAGTGTTTCTGTTGTTCCGTTGTTTTCCTCTCATAGTTGATGTGTTTCCCTCGGTTTTAGTTTGTAACCCGGATTTGTTTTCTCTCAATCGATTTATGACTTTTAAACAGCGGTATACCACTGTTGCCTTTATTCACTTGTATTTTCTTAAAATAACAACAGAAGAATGTATTTGTGTGCATATTAAATGTTTTAGAATAAACCTTGTGTGTTAAAATCATATGAAAAGAGTTTCTTGTAATTTTAATATTATCGAAATTATTGGACCAATGCATGCATATATACTAAACTTAGTCAGTTTATGATGGTATGATACCAAACCCCTAACGGGAGGGATTGTGCTTGATTTTCATATGATGAAGACATAATCTTTCAATCGGTTTAATTGAGGTCTGGAGCTGGCATGTCAGTAACTGCTAGTAGACCTTTGTTAATTTATGTATCATTGTCATTTTGCTTAGTTTCTTTTGTTACCTATTCTGACATCGGACTCGGACTTCTTTTGAACTGAGTTTTCCTGTGCGTATTGCTGTGTGTTTGTTTATTCTACATTGGCTAGAGGTATAGGGTGGGGGGTTGGGATCTCACAAAACATGTTTAACCCCGCCGCATTTTTGCGCCTGTCCCAAGCCAGGAACATCTGGCTTTTGTTAGTCTTGCATGTTTTTCAATTTTAGTTCATGTATATGTTTTGGAGTTTAGTGTGACGTCCATTTTCATTGAACTAGTACACATTTTTGTTTAGGGGCCATCTGAAGTCCGCTTCCGTGTACGGGATTTTCTCGCTATGTTGAAGACCCATTGGTGGCCTTTGGCTGTTTTCTGCTCTTTGGTCGGATTGTTGTCTCTTTGACACATTCCCCATTTCCATCCAATTTTACTTTTTATATATTTATTACGAATCTATAACGTATTATCGACAAATAATATTTCATTCAGTGATTGTTGATCGCAAGCTAGCTATTTTTCGAGTTTGTTGCCGAAGTTTACATGATCGTGACATTGATAAACAATCAACACAGAACATGTGGAATACGTGACAAATAAGTGAACTGAAAGAGCCAAGATTTTTTTTTTCATATTTTCCATGCGTTCCCATTTGTTAATTAAAATTTTCCATAACAGTTGTTAAATGATTTGTTGTATTAAATTTGTTCTTAAAGAATCAGTTAATACTATTTACCTTCCAGTGCACGATTGTTTACATTCTTTCATCACAGTTTTCCCCTCACACTTGTGCTGTGCGATGGCAAAAGTTCTATCGAGAGTTCTCGTATTTAAGGTCACTGCATACGGGAACATATCGGCGAATTAGTGTACGGGAAGACAATAATTCAAACAGCAGTATATTTATGAAGATTTTGATAATATAAAGGATTTTCTTTTACAAGAAAGTTCACGTACACTGGTTTTATAGTAAAACTTGTCCATTCAAGTATATAAAACATATTCAACCTTTTTTTTTAAATTTGAAGTTTCGTATTACTTTAAATTTGGTTTCATAAGAGTGAAAACGTTATCAGTGATTTTATGATCAGGGGATCATTGGCGATAAAAAAAGATCGAAAAGTATAAATACCGGAACAATACTGGAAAACAATTAAAATCACTTAAGAATAACCTATTAACATATCCATTATCATGAGGAAAAACATTATTTTTTCTAAATTGTTTCAAGATGAAATTGTTACGGAAAACTATGTTTTACTAAAGAAAAATGTCAAAAGTCGTAACTCTTTCTTTTTTATTGTGTACATACATAATGATTACATATTACCTACACCAGTGTGAATTTATTCTCATTTTCGTTAACAGAAAGAAAGGAAAATTTAGGTTATTTAATAGATAAATGTTTATTAATTTATCTATATACTAAATATATGATTACTGTTTAGATCACCTAGCCCAAAGAGCCAAGTGAACTTTTCTCATCACTTGGAGTCCGTCGTCGTCGTCCGTTAACCTTTACAAAAATCTTCTCCTCTGAAACTACTAGAGTAACCAAATTTAACAAAACTTGACCACAATCATCATTTGGTATCTAGTTTAAGAATGTGTCCGATGACCCTGCCTGCCAAATAAGATGACCGACATGGCTATAAATAGAAGATATGGGGTAACATGCAAGTTTTTTCTATTATTTTGAAAACTGTTATATATAGAGAAAATCTGGTACTAATAGAGTGTTCGGAATGATGAGCTCTACCTATTGTCCATTATGTCAAAACTGTCAGAAGACTTCTTCTAGGAGTTATTGCTCTTAAATGATTTTTTTAAAATTTTTTGCCATATTATTTTGAAATCTTTAAAAGATAGAGAGAAACTTTAAATACTAAAAATGATCAGCAAGACAATATCTACAAATAAGTCAACAAAACCGAAATCGTCAGATGACTCCTTAATAAAGTTATTGCCTTTTAATCCGCGAAAACTAGAAAGATATCGAAAAAAATCCTAAACTTTCCAAGATCTTTCCCGAGCCACCCCGTAGTCCCGAACGCCTTAAAGATGGGTTGGTGAGAGCTGATTTATCACCCAAACCAGATTCTCCGTCATCAAGCTCTTGTAAGGGTTGTGGGAACAAACGATGTGTGACTAACAAGCAAATACTGCACACCTGGACATCAACATTCACTCGACTGATACGACATACACCATATTTTGCAATGTTAATTGTAAGAGTACAAAATGTACAAACACTGTGTATCTTTTTCAGTGTAAATGTGGTAAACAGTATGTTGGCGAGTCAGAACAACCGTTTCACAAACGTATGAATGGCCATGGCAATGACTATAGATATAAGAAGATGTTGTATGAGTGCCAATGAGACAACTATGACTGTAAGCCAACCTCCCTCTCAGTCGACATTTGAGATGTCCTGGTCACTATAAGGCAGATGTAAACCGACTGACTATCACTATAATTGACCACAACACTCCATGATCAAGAGAGGAGAGAGTCACTGGGGAAAGATTTTGAATACGAAAGTTGAAAACTTTTGCACCAAATGGTATTAATGAAAAGAAGTAGTTAAAATCGAGCAGTACTAGATGTGTTACTTCATTTTCCGATGTACAACTACGCACTCCCACCGGTTGTAAATACTTAATTTGTATCTAAATGTAGTTCAAATGAGTATATATTACTAAAACTCCAAACTTTCCATCTTTTGTTTTTATTTAATTTGTATATGAAGTTCAAAATTATTAAATTGTAGTTTTAACTTTTCTACCAACGATATTAAGTGTTTAATTTGTATAATGTCAAGATTTCTTAAAATAATCATAGCTAGTGACTTAATTTTACACCAGGCTGCTCACTCATACTGATGTAGGATATTTGGTATCCGAAATATTTATTGAATTTTGATTTTATTTGTTTCATATTTTTTAATCATTGTTTTTGTGTTGTTGTACACTTTTTAGACGTGTATGTGTATATAAGGATATATAAGGTTGTTGGTGTAAATCTCATATTAAACTCTCGTAATTTTTCCAACGGTGAATATAAAGTTTTATTTAAGAAGATTCCTTACGTTTTTAGCCAATGAGTAAAGAGAACGTTTATAGTCATATAATAAAACAGCATATTCACCTGAAGAAAGTGATATTCACCGCGCTTAACTTCACCATGTCTACAATATGTTTCAGTTAATAATTGACCTATAACGGGCAATTTAAGAAAGGTTTGTTAGAAATCATGTCAGTACCGAAGTACTGACTACTAAGCTGATGATACCCTCGTGGACTGATAGTCAACCAGCAGAGGTATAGACATATATTAGGAACGCTCAAAGCCGAATTCTTGAAAGCCAGGAATGTATTAGAACCGAAACAGTTTAAAGGCTGTATGACCAAAAAGGACCGAAAATTATAACCAAATCCATCCAAGTCAACTTTGCCTGGGGGAGTTGTAACCTTTGTTTCTTAGTAATTCATTAATTGATAAACAGACAATTTAAGAAAGGTTTATCATTAATCATGTCAGTACCGAAGTACAGAGCGGATGATACACCCGGGGACTGAAGTCCATAGGCAGAGGTACCGATCCAGTGTTGTAAAAAATGAAAACAACACTTCATGAATTGTATGCGTCCGAAAAGGCCATCTTAATTTACCATCATTAGGAACGTTCAAAGCCAAATATTTTAAAGCCAAGAATGTATAATAACCGAAACAGTTGAAGAGCTATATGATTGAAAAAGACTTAAAGGTAGTAGCCAATTCGATCTAAAGCCAGCCTTGCCTGAGGGAGTTGAAAACCTTAGTTTCTTAGCAATTTAAAATAAGTGTATAAACGTACATTATTAGAAAGGTTTGTTATAAATCATGTAAGTAGCAAAACATAACGTGCTTTTACATTTATATTTTTGTAAAATGTTTGATGTACAATTAGATTTG